GGTGGGTGGCAGCGGCGCCCGCGCTTGTCTTAAGATCCCACCCTGCAAGAGAGAAGGCCCCTGCTCTCAGGATTGCACGTGCTCAGCTCTTCCACAAGAGGAGGATGTTGGTACTTTCCATATAAAACCATTAGGGAGGTTAGCCACAGATATGAAAGAGCATCACTGCATTTCCAGGTGGCTAGGAATATTATTTTGCTTGAATGCATGACGAGTGTGCTTCCAATCCCAAAATGTGACTTGTTGTATGCTTAACGGCCTGTTATAAATTGGAAGTTTTCCAGTTCTGCAAATTGTTGGTCACTTTGTAGTCCCCCCACTCCTTGACCCAAAGCATCCCTGGTATTGTTTACTAGCAGAGCCCTATTTCAGGCATGACTCACAGATCCCCCGGTTTTCCAGTGCCTCCTTATGGCTGGGCACTTAGCAGGAGCTGCTGCTGCTTCCTCATGGTTGTGACAAGTGTGTTGTTGTGATAGATACACCGAGCTCATAAGAATGAAGTGAGTTTCCGGGGATTGTTTTGTTGTGTTTCATTATCACGAAGCATTGAAAAGATGAACCTGAGTCAGGTTAGTGATGGGCTGATGACTTAAACCAGCTTATTAAGGGGTCCCATGACCATTAGTGCTAGCACAAGAATACATTGCAAAGGAAGAGAGGAGGTGGGAGAACAGGACTTGTGAAGAGCAGCGAGCTGTTCAGATACGCTCACTCTGTAATGGGGAACCTCCCCAAAAGCTGTGGTCCCTTGAGCACCTTAGCTGCCATATTTACTTGAGGTTTCTGTCCCCTTTCCGTTACCAGTTACAGAATCCTTCCCTGTTTTCATCAGCTTGTGATCCTCAAGTCCTGTGACCATGTGAGGGGTGAACTTGCGTGTTACGGAGGTTCAGGCAAACTGGTTGTGCCTTGAGCCATTCTAACTGCGGGAAGTGCTTCGGGTTAGTTAATCTTTGACTTAGCAGAGTGGAACAGCCCAGGGCAGCGCTCAGCGTGCGCAAGAGCAAATGCTGCGCAGGCAGCAGGAGCTCGTGGCGGTGCAGGGGGGAGCGGGACTACCCCTTGGAGCAGGTCTGGGCTGTTCCGCTGCTTCACCACGTTTTGCAGAGCTGCAGCCCGGGGCTGCCATTTTGCAAACAAGGACGAGCGGTCCAGCAGCTCACAGATCCCTTCTCCTACCCTGACTCCAGGCTGGCGCTTGTTTAGCTCCTTTAATGTCTAACTCAGCTCACCCCACGGCCGCCTCCTTCTCGTAGCAGAGACCTCTAACACTCAACTCCCACCCGCACATGAAACCACATTGGCAGCTAAAGCCAGTTCTTAGGGTGTCAAAACAACGTCTGATCCTGCTTGACAATGTACAATAAAGTCACGCTGCAAAGGCGATGTGACCTCTGGATATGGCATTGCCTTACCAAAATCACAGTAACACTAACGTCCCTCCCAGCAAATACACATGCAATCATACGTTTACGTCCTAAAAGCCCTATTCCTCTCTACATACCAGTTTTTAATCCAGGAAAGAGATCTCCAGGCTGTAGCTGTTGCCTGTGTGTGTTCCATGTTTTGCTATTTCTTCTCGTTGTGAGTTGTTCTGTCTTGTGTCACTACTGCCACGTCAGAGCTAGCTTTGCTGCAATCCCAATTCTTAACTCATGGGCCACAGCCGGCTTCTCCAGCTTCATTGCCAAGCATAACTCCTCAGAAGGCCAATAACTAAGCAGTACTTTTATTGGGCTAATGAGGAAAATACCAAACATTGAACCAGTTACCAGAGTTCAGTTGCACTACAGCGTGATTCAAATAAACCACAGATCTTTTTATACAGTCAGTCTCTTCACAGATGGTATCCTCCTGGCTGTTTTCATTGGTCAGGCACTTAATAACTGACTGTTTATTCAGGTGTATATTAGACAGATTCTCAATCTTCAGACATGAGTAGAGCAATGTATTTGATTAATTCTATCTATTTTGAAATGTGTCTTTTTTTGCCTTTGCACAGGACCTCTCTTGCACCTTCCTCTGAGACTCCAAATGGCCAAACACAGGTCAACAGACTGAAATACACCCCTTCCAAGAAACAGAAGACCCCAGTGAGTTGAAGTATTCCAGTGAAACATCCAAGCTTTAGCTAATTTGTATGACAAATATTAAAGCCAGAATTTGACCCATATATCTAAAAAACAGACCTGAAACTACAAGTTTTTTAATAGTAACATACAGATCATCTGCTCCCTAGTATGCATCTGTCTTAGTAAATACAGGAAACTAGTATGCTGAAACAACTCTTTTTCCAGTATAATCTCCCTCCTTCTTACTGCCATTAGGCCATTTATAATACTGAAGTTTTGCATTTAATTGTTTCAAGGCTTGAGAAGCCTGAAAGCTGGGTTTTGAAAGTCAAACATCTGGAGTCAAAAAGTCCTTATATATATTACATATATAGTTTACATATATTTATATACATTTAAATAATAAATATATAAAATAATTTAAATTTAAATAATAAATATATATACAAATTATTTTATATATAATACATAAAATTTGATATATATTATATATTTTATATATTTATATTTGTAAAGATCATACCTAACAGGAAGCAATTTGTGTTGGATAATCCCATATTGATTATATAGTTGTAATAATGAAGCTAAAGTAGAGCATAGCTAATTTACACCCCCAAATATACTGAGAAAATTCCAAAATAAATTAACATACTCAAAGTTAACAAGGGATTCTGCTTTCAGAAGAACTCATAATTTCTGAAGGAAAATTAATCATTTTCTTTTTACTGTTCATCAGAGCTTGTCTCCATTCGGCTTCTTCACTTATATGTCAGGTGTTTGGCATAGGTTCACCAACCTGTCTTTAAAACTGGTAGTCTACAAAAGCTGCCATAACCACATGTGTCTCCACTATGGGATAACCTGTGGACACATACTCCAGAGCAAAAACACCTAGTCAAACCTCTTATTAAAGGTTAAATTTTAGTTAACCTTAGTTACCTTAGTAACCTTTTAGTTAACCTTAAACCTCTTAAAATCTCTTATTCTGTTTTTCATATAAACTAAAACAAGCTGCTGATCTTTTGATGTGATGCTTTATTTTTCAATGGTCCCAGTACAGACCAAGAAACTATTCTTCATCCAGAAATGAGCAAGCTTTCGCACAATCATGTAGCCTAGGCAGCATGAGCAATAGGGATGCCCAGGGATTGGATAGAGTTGCACCATTTTAATGAATTATATTACTGTGAATAATATTTCTTCAAAGGACAAAAAAAGCTCAACTGGGTTTTAAGGTATGGACAGTCCTGGCTGAGAGCAGTTTTAGAATATAAAGCTTCTCCATGTGTTTCACTGTAAGTTTAGAAAATTGCATTAACTCAGCACTGCGACACATCACCTAGGCTATTTCCATGTTATTTGGATTCTTTGCTGCAAGTCTCTAGAGTTATTAGGACCTAATCCATCTTTAGCTCTTTCATTCCCTTTTTTAATGCTTTTCCAGCTTTCTGATAGAGGCTGTTGGTCCACGTGGCCTGCATTTGCATCAGGGCAGTCAGTCCTACAGAATCATAAACCCTGCTATATCTCAAAGGAGAGAAAGCCCAGGTAAGCACAGCCTGTATTAACTGAATTAACAATTAAGTCACCATTGAGACAACCCAACATGAGGGTTCTTACTGGAAGAGATTCTGCTCTGTAATTCTTTTGAAAACCAAAGCAAAATCAAGAAAACCAATAATAAACCCAAGAGTAGAATCTCTTCCAGTGAGAACACTGATATGGGGTTGTCTCACAAAACTTCAGCCTAACAGAAGACATCGTTGCTTCTGACTAGCAATTCTACAGGAGACATCAAATATATGTAATAGTGAGTTATGATTTCTAAAAGATAGTACAATAAGGGTTTTTCTTTAATTATTATTATTTTTATTATTTATTGACATGCATTAGGTAGGACCTTTCCAGGGTCCTGAGTGCACTGCCAGCAGACTTTGCAAGCTCTTTTCTTACTCTGGGCTGCCTGTGCTCAAGACCGGTTCTGATACGGCCCAGCTGTGAAAGCTGGGATCAGGCGCTGTGAAGAGCTACGTGAGAGACCCTCCTGGGGCCTCCTCCTCTTCTTCAGGCCCTCAGCCTTGCTCCTTGCCTGAGCAGTATTGCAGCCAGGCCTGTGCCCGCCTTGTGCCTTGCTGAGCCTGGCCTACTTGCTGGCTGCCCCAGAGCGGCCTCACTCCTTCCTCATCACTGCAGACTTGCATGATGATCACTGGAATATGGATAACCCTGGCTACTGTCAGGGACTTGCTTGCTATACTTGTTGTGGTCCTGTGGGATTATACCTCACAGGGACATCACTGCCCCTGCTTGCCTTGCGGTCATCCAGGAGCCCCAGCTTCCCTGTCCTTGGACCTGGAAAAGCTTGTTCCTGCTGCCAGTTAGCTCAGGCAAGGACTGAGGGTGCGTGATGAGGACTGAGCTTAAATGCAACCCCCCAAAAAGGGGGTAGAGGCCCACAGTGGGTAAAAAAAAATCCAGTCTGAGGTAATGGGCAGTAGGAAGAGAATCAAGATCTTTGAGCTGATTGTTTTTAAGCCCATACTTGTGCCCCTTCTTTTCCTATGTCTCTATAGCAATAAACAGGCTCTACTTACCATTCCAAAGCCACGATACTTGGAGCAACTGGAATCTTACTTAAGGAAAGAGCTGCAAGCTCTTGACCTGACTACAAAGAATTCGCAGGAACTGAAGTTACAGGTCTGTTACAAAGTTCTGTTGACTTGAAACTACATGCAGAGATGGATTTCTTCCTTTGTTTGATAATCAGAACAAAAAGTAAATAGCAAAAGTAGGCTCCCATAGTATTAAGGTACTATTGGATAAAAAAATGGTTTTGCACATGGCTTTAGAGAACTTGCACAGAAAATAAGCTATTTATGTTTGGGTTGTTTTCACTGCACATCTTCTATAGCCATTTCCATTTTCAAATAATCAAAGCCAAAGTTTTTAAAAAGACATGGTAACGTAAAGTAGATTTGAAACAGAATTAACTCACTAACCTACTGAGGATTCCTACCTAAGTCCATAAAGCAGCAAATGTGTTGGTTCCTAGATTTTGGTTGCAAAATCTCCCTTGTTTCTGAAGTTAGGTTTCTGAATGTCAGCAGAAGGCGCTTTCTAATCTAGCTCTTGTCTAAGTCTAGTCAGGATTCCATTTCCTCTGAATGAGTTAATTCAAAACTCTCATTGCCAGAGGAATCCTGTAGTGATGATGATGAAAGATGGTGGATGGAGAGAACAGAGGGAAAAAACAGAGTGACTGATAGAGGCTTCATAAATGTTTTTGTGCTTTAAAATATTCTTAATTTACGTGATTTGTTTAATTGTCTTTAATAGTTAGTTACATTCAGATTACTGAGAACACTGTTACTGCTAATGAAGCCTTTGCAAGGCTCAGACAAAACATGGCAGTTTGGCTGTCCTCCCTGAACAAGTTTTACCCTGCTGAGGATAGACTAAAGGAATCATGAAACAGTTGAGTTTGGAAGAGACTTTCAGAGATCATCTAATCCCACCCCTCTGATCAAGCAAGGCCACTTAGAGCACAGTGCCTAGGACCTGGCCAGATGGCTTTTGAATATCTCCAAGGATGGACATAAACTGTTCCAGTGCTCTGTCACCATCACAATAAAAGTTTTTTTTTTCCTTAGATTGAGATGAACTTCCTATTTTTCAGCTTGTGCCTATTACCTCTTTACCTATCACTGGACACCACTGAAAAGAGTCTGGCCTCATCCTCTTCACATCCTTCTTTCAGATATTTGCACACACTGATAAGATACCCCTCAGTGTTCTCTTTTGTTCCTGGCTAAACAGGTCCAACTACCTCAGCCTTTTCTTACATGAGAGAGGCTCTAGTCACTTAATCATCTTAGTAGCTCTCCACTGGACTCACTCCAGTAGTTCCAAGTCTCTCTCATAGTGGAGAGCCCAGAACTGGACGCAGTGCTCCAGGTATGGCCTCACCAGCGGTGAATAAAGGGAAAGGATCACCTCCTTCAGCCTGCTGATAATACTATTGCTAATGCAGGCCAGGATACCACTGGCCTTTTTTTGCTTCAAGGGCACATTGTTGGCTCATGGTCAACATTTCGTTCATCAGGGCCCCCGGTACTTCTCTGCAGAGCTGCTTTCCAGCTGGTCATGCCCTAGCCCATCCTGGTACACACAGACTGAAAGATTATCTCTGCCCTGCAGAGCTTGTCATTTAACTAGACAAAATGCTCAACAGAAGCAATGTGATCCCTTTGTACATCTTTAAAATCATCCCTCTTGCAACTTGAGCTCTTGTCAACTCCATTTGAACATTAACATTTTTCTCTTTGGAGCTGTGCCCTGACAGACTCAAGTAAAGCTTTTCTTAGGCACCACAGCATAATGGAGAACAAACAAGAAGATTAGAGTGGGCGAATCAACTCAAAATTTGACATATTTGAGATCTTGGACAACAGATGGAGAGACATAAATATGTTATAACATTATTTATCATTAATGTCATTAGATAACATTTGTGTTGGACAAAACAGTTATCCCTAATTTCTGAAAAATATGTCACCATTTGTGGAGTCTCCTTCTTTGGAGATCTTCCAAAGCCACCTGGATGCCACCCTGTGCCCTGTGCTCTAGGTGTCCCTGCTTGAGCAGGGGGGTTGGATTAGATGATCTCTGGAGGTCCCTTCCAACCTCAACCATTCTGTGAATCTGTGTTTTTTTTTTCAAGCTTTCTCTTTATTTTCTTAGCCCTACAGAGAGATCTTTGAATTCTTCATAGACAACTTCAAGACCTACAAGCCCTTGCTGTCAGCTATAAAGAATGAATATGAAGTTACTTTGGGTAAGCTGATCCATGGGGAAGGAAAAAAAAAAAACCCACTGTGATAGAAAAGTGCTCTTACGCAGCTGATCAGTTTTTGATTAGTTTTACTGGACATACACAAGATGAACAGTCTAAATAAATACAGTATGCAAGCTGAGTAAACTCAGCTTTGTTCTAGATGCCCTTTAGTATGAACTCATAGTTCTGATCCACTAGCTCTATTTCCCTCCTAGCTGAACTGAAGTCTTTTTTTCATCTTCAACACATACACAGTTCAGGCAAGAGCAGCATCTCAAGGTTGGCTTGGGACAATCAAAATTATAATGGTGTGTATCATACTAGTGTGTTTGGATGCACTTGCATTAGTAACTTTAAGCTTGAATTACTCCTGAAGCAAGGCAGGGCAGAACTGAGCTGGTGGTTCCCAAGCCATTCTTACTGTGTTTTAAACTTTGCTTGGTATCTAGATGCCACAGTGATACCAATACTTTGTAAACAATCATAGGTGGATAGAAATAGGCTGTAACCAGCACTTCATTTCACATTAGGCTCCATGCAGCTGCCAAATGTCAATAGATTTCTATTGGGACAGTGTCTTGTTTATCCCAGATCAGATTCCCTGAACTAGCTAGTCATAATCCCTCATCATGGACAAAAATCTTTCTTTGAACATACTTCTTCCCAGGTCAATGAGTCAATTTTAATTATTACATAAAAACTTTTTTTTTTTAATCAGTTTCCTTTTAGAACTCTATTGTAGATATTTTTTCAAGTTTCAGAGTGACTATTGGTTTCAATGCTATGGCCTGGTCTATACTGTACTGCTTTCTAAAACGCCTTGTATTTACCTTGTGCAAATACTGACTCCTCCATATTGCTTGCATGTGACCAACTGGTCATTATCTTTTCTAGTTTAAGTGATTTAACAGCTAGTTCTCGCTCTTTTTTTTTAATGTTGCAGTCCTATATCCTGTCCTAACTTAACCTTGGTGCTTACCTTAAGGTGCTTACTACTGCACCTGCTGCCAGGGGGAGTTCTCCCCCTAAATTTGCTGGCATAGCTTCATGTTTCCAAATAGTTCAGAACAATCTGGTTTAGAAGAACTATTAAAAGCTGAACTAAAATGTCCTTGCCTAGGCTACTTATTTAGCTGCACTCGATCATGATGGCAGAAGGGAGTGTGGGAGACGCTAGTGTGTGAGAACTGCTGAGCGCGTCAACCGGAGAAGGCAGCGCCCCGCGACAGGAGCAGTGATGGGCACTGGCACCACAGGCACTGGCTGCTTACAACTGTCTGTCTCCTGTCAGAACTGGCCATAGGGCTGCATGCACAACCCTTTTGGGTAGCAAGCTGGTGCTTGGTCAGCACTGGGGCCTTATGGCATTGTTCTGAAGTAAATTCATGTGAAGGTCATTGTACGGAATTTGGAAAATAGCACTGAGGAAAAGAAAGCCATGCAGTCCCTACTGCTGTTATGTTAATCTGACATACAAGTTGCTGGGAGCTCCTTTAAGACAAAGCTTAGGATAGGTGTTCATTTCAGGGTGATGTTATCCATAACTGAATAAATTTCTCGAATAAAATACTCAGGTTGCTATGTCCTGTGTTACTATGTGGGGCTTCACGCTCTCCTTTGTGGCACTAATACTTCTGGGTACATCCAGCAATTCTGTATATGCAATGAGCTGCACCACAGCCTGAATTCTTTCCAAGTGGGAGAATGGTGGCTTTTCATGGTCTGGAATGGTTTGTGAGAGGTCATCAGAGAGCTAGTGTTCTCAAATGGCACTGGCCAGTGTCCACACTACAAAGTAATAGCTTTGGCAGTCAACTAGCTGTGCTTAGTCTGTAACTTCTCACACTAGACAGCTGCAATTACAAACAATAGTACACTTAGAGATTTGCTTGTGGTCAGGATTCAGTTGTGGAAACACTTAAATTACACCTCAAAATGAATTTGCTGGAGTTTTAACAGGTGTTTTAGGTCTTCACTGAACAACAAACAGCAGAGTTGATAATGCTTTGCCATCCCTGGGGGAGCTGTCCCAGTGCAAGCATCACAGTGAAAGGGTTTTGTAAAACCTTTGGCACAGTTACAATGTAGGAAGGAAATTCACACCCAGCTCTAAGGAGAACAGTAGTTCCTGTTCTTATATCAGTGGATGAGTTTAAAGTTCTGAAGTGCAAAATCTATTGCATAATGCTTGTACATAAATACTAATATCAAGTTTTATTGAGAAGAAAAAGCTGTAAATCAGATTCTCCAGCATCCACCAGCATTTCTGTTCAGAAGACAGAGTAGATGCATGATTCAGCAATCAAAAGTCTTGATGTAGCCTTTTTTGAATCACACCATTTCCTCTCTGTTTACATTCCTGGTGGAATTCTGTCTAGTCATATAAATAAGCTTCCACACCAAGGAAATAGTACCTGATGAAATTCTACCATGAAACCATAGCTAGGATTCTGGACTCAAGTCAAGGACAGTCTTCTCTGATAACTATCTTTAAGAAAAACTTTAAGCCAAAGGGGAAATAGCTGAGTGAAAAGCACAAATTACAGCAGAGGAAGCCCAAAAGAATGCTCAAGTTCTATATGAAATGCAGGAAGAACATGAATAGCATGAGCTAAAATCAAGGATTATACAATAATCCTTCATGCACACAACAGACTATAATCCCTAGAGATACATCTCCCAGTCCTCAGGCAGTCACCAGGATAAGTAGTTAAAGTTCCATGCTCATTCCTTCCAAACACTGGTTTGGGGTTGAATATCCAACAGCTCTGCTGAATAAAATCCAGGCTTGATCATTCATTTTGAAAACCTACCTCTGCTTTCTTTAGCTCATCAGAAGGAGAGGATCCGTGCCTTAGAGCCACTGGAGGCTACAGTCACAACTGTGTCTGAGGAGTACACACAGCAGATACTGGCACTGCAAGAAAATGAGAGGGATGAAATAAGTATGTTAAAGCAAGAAAAACAACATTTGTTAAAGTTCATTGAAAACATGAAGGAAGAGAAGAGTTCTCTTGAGATTCAGGTAAATTGGACTATGATGAGTCATATGTTTCCTCATCCCACAGCTGATCCCACAATTCTCAGTCTTTCATCCTCTGGTGCCAGGAGAAATTTTGGAACAAGAGCTAAAGGGAGCTAAAGGAAGTTGGGAAAAAGAATTGTGCTAAATGTAGTATTCCATTTTTGAGGCAGCATTCAAGTATTCTGTCTCATAGTTAGATAATCAAATTTTCCTTGAAATGATCCATCCAAGCTGCTGACTTGTTTGTTGGTGGCAGTACAATGGTCTAAAGACACAGGCATAACAGCATCGCTCCAGACAACTTGTATCTTTATGAGGCAAACACATTTTTTTCTCTTCCAGAAGGAAATAAAAAGAATTCTCTGAGGTAACAGTTGTCTTTTGAGCAATAAGGAAAAGTAAGGAAAAGTGTGTCTTCATTTATTCCCTGTATAGCAGATGAAGCAGGCATCAGCAACAACAGGATGTGATCATGTAATGAAAAGTAGAGCATGGGAATGAACTAAGGTTTTACTCAAAATCCCAGTTTTTAGAGTCACAGGTTTCTCTTTGTTTTACCTTACCACTGGGTAATTTAAAATAAAATTTAAATTTAAAGCTGCAAGAATTATTGAATATACCATCCTGTGTTGCTATCCAAGACAATTCTGTCACCAGTTCCAGTGGAATAGTCGTGAGAGAAGCAGCTTTTCATCTGTCCACTCTCCTGCTCCAGCACTTTCCACTTTGTTTCCCTTATACCATTCTCCACTATTCAGCTTCTGCTCTGGTTTCAACAAGCTCATCCAAGAATTCCCATTGGTGCTGTGCTCCTGACCAATTCAAGCCTCTGTTTCCTGCAGGTGGAGCGTTTGAAAAAGAGCTTGGCCGAGGAATACCTTCGCTATCTCAACGAGCACCATGCCCGCAAACTGCTCCTAGCAGACATGAATGAAATGCACAATGAACAGCTGGGCCTGACTCTTCACCAAGTCCAAGGTAGAGAAAGCGGATCTGTGAGGGAACCCATCCTGCTCAAAGATCCTATGTGTGCAGCATCGCAGGAAAGAAAAAAAAAAGAAAGAAAAAAAGAAATATCTGAAATATCTTCAGAGATGTTTTCTTAGAAGAAATCAGGGAAATTTGGACAAAAAGTGCCTAAATATTTTCTAAAGGCAGGAATATACTAATTACTAGTATATACACACTAGTATATATACTAATGTATTAGTATATACTAGTATATACTAGTATATTAGTATACATACTAATACACTAATAGTCTGGTCTGATTCAATAAGTCATTGCTTTTATTCTTTATATACGCTAATAGTCTGGTCTGATTCCATAAGTCATTGCTTTTATTCTTTATATACTCCTACTTAGCACAATAGCTAAGTTGAAGGCATGAATTGCCTAATGCAAAGGGATCTTATGGTTTTTTTTTAACTCCAGCACCAGTTGTTTGCACCTGAGAGCCTTATCCAGTCATAGCCATTAGTTTTGTGGATGTTTTGTGCCAAGGCTGGACAATCTGATGAGATTCAGGTGTCAGAAATAGCTGCATTTGAAGAATTTATTGGCATTTGTGGCATGTGGGTTACTCATTATGGTGGGGAGACTTTCAGTAAACCAACTCTCCTGAGTCAAGCTCCCACCAGGCTTCTGCTCTGCACTTACTGGCTGTAGCCTTTTCATTCCCATAAGGACTCACCCCTCTTTTGGGACTTGGAAGATATATGTGTACTTGGGAGAGGAGGAAATGGATATGAATGTGCCATTGCAATATAATTCAAGACTTTGTAGGTAATATGATCTAAGAGCTTAATACATCAGTTAGAAAAATACATTTGTAAGTTTACTGTCACGGCATTTCATCAATGGCTATTGTTTGAAGATGTCAAGAGTGAAGATGTGGTGAAGTTAACTTTGGCATTAAAGATAGCTCGGCAGGACCTCACAAAAGCCCAAGTGGAACTAAACAGAATGATAGCAGACTATGGAGATGTTGTGCCCAGGAGAGATTTTGAATCACTGGAGAAAAAATATTCTGTTTTACTTCAGGAGGTGAGCATATGCTCCTAATTTTAATGCTATACCACATAAATGCAAACATAATGTTATGCTTCAGTATGCAGGTTGCGATAAGGACTCAGTAAACCCAGAACTCTCATAGTGGCATTTTTTTGTTCCTCTTTACATGAAAGAAACGAAATGCTAGTGTGCAGAGTCTTCTAAACTCCCAAAGCTTCCTTATTTTTAGAATCACAGACAAGCTGACAGACAGCCTCAAAAATAGCATACTGTCATAAATACTTACCACCAGTTTTAATTGAACTAGCACCATATAAGCCCACAAACTACCAACAATCCACAAATTACAGCTTGGGAATTATTGTTCTAAGTCATCATGTATGTAACTTGGTGAACTAGGTGCATCTAACATACATCACACTGCTCCAAACCATGGCTGAAAACAGTACTGAGTAGGGCTGCTAATGTATATCTCCCTATATATATGTGTGTGTGTGTAGATATGTTTAATTTTGCCTTTTTCTAGTAATATTTCAGGTTCCAGCAACTTCAGGTTCATGTACTTAGCACAGGCTTAGAGGGATGAGCAAGGTGTTTTCCCGCTCTGATAAAGCTCGACTAGGTTCCCCATGTAATATCTGTTTGCTGTCTTTTCAGAATAAACATTCAATGCCTGGCTTATGCTGGAGATGCCCAGGAACAATGGCATGTCACATGCAGGACAGCAAAGGGATGTCACACATCAGCAGCTAGGATGGGGTCTGATTCCAACCTGCCCAGCAGTGGCAGAGCAGCAGCAGTCACAGGACCTTGTATCTAGAAGGGTGCTGAGAAAGAGAACACATTGAATCCCATCACGTAGTGCACCATCATGATGGATGCCAATCTTCAGTGCAGCAAAAATTACCGTGTGTCTTTGTGCTTCAGAAAGATTATAGTGGTTTGTTTAACACACATTTGGGTTGGGGCAGCTCTGGTCTAGCCCTGACCATTAGCACTACTTGATCCAGGGTGAAAGTCCCTACATTGTGGCATATAGATACAAGCAGGGTTCACATTTCCAAGGTTAGAGCTGTGTTTACCTCCAGATCATGATATACCTGTGTGCTGGTAGCAAAAACAAATCATATAAAAAAGAAACACTTTCTAAGGAAAGAACAATTGCTCTGAAGGGGATGAATATAAAAATTCCTAGAAGCCTGTGTTTCTCCTACTTCCTAATGGATTAAAATCTGATTTTTTTTTTATACAGAAAGATATAGAAGTGTCATTGACATGTCTTATGAAAAGTTTTTGTAAATGGCAACAGTAAAATTTAATAAATAATTTATTTTTTCTTCCCATGTAAAGCCAATTAGCCAGGGACAGCTCTCCATAAGTCCTTGGACTATCCTGACTGCTCACCTGAGCTGTCTGACAGCAGAAAAATTGTGTGTTACTGTAATGAGTTTCTTATCATCCTGCTTTCTCTATGTTTTAGATGAAGAACCAGCATAAAGATTTTGATCAGCTCCATAAAGAATATGACATGCTGCTAGAAATCCACAGGGAGACTGCAGAAGAACGGGACAAAGCCTTCCTTGAACTCCAGGAAGTTCGGCGCAGTTGCACGCCCCGGCCAAACTGGGCAAAGTGTTCAGGTGCTACCTTTTGTTAATAGTGATTTGCTTGGAACACCTCATCTTTAAACACTCTACTATTTTATATTTCTTACTTGGAATATCCCATTTCCTCTCAGGCTTTTCAGGAAGAAGTGGCCAGTGAGACAGAGGAGCTTTCAGGGTATACCATTTGGCCTTGTACATCTTAGGAGATGAACTACGTGCCTAGACACCTGCATTTGTTGTAGAACTCCCAAAGAATTCACACAAAACCACTATGCGTGGGCATGTTCTCTTTTTCTAGTAGCTCAGTGTCTTTCTGCTGTTGCAGAAGTGATTCCTGGTGGAGCTGACCGGTGGAGCTCTCTGGCTGAGGGGAAAACGAGTGATCAGCTTGTGGATGTACTTCTGGAAGAAATAGGAACAGGAGTACTGAAAGAGAGAGATGTCTTCTTTGGATATGTATGTGCAAGATTATTTTGCTTATTTACATTAAGATTAATTGGTAATAAATGCCTATTAACAGGGTGCTTGGTGGCTAGACTTGGTATCTTCAGTGTTCACCTTCCCATGAAAGCTTTAAGCTAGAGAAACACAAGTGCTATAGAAGAGCAGAAACTGAGAATGACCACACCTGAAGGTACAGCTGAGGCAGCTTCACTTCAGAGTGATATTACATGAGTCATCAAACATGCAAGTGATACTGGCAAGCTAGAGTTCCTTACTAAAGCTTCACAACAGGGCAAAGTCATTTTAACTCCTTGCTGCTGCTGAAAGATCTTCTCCTGCCATGTTTTTCTCTGTTGTACGTCATTCTGGCTCTGCTGCCAGGGAAGTAGACTCTACTTGCTGTCCCAGCAGAACAGTATTCATTTTCGTCCTGTGTTAGTTTTTTTCGTTTAGTAAATGAACCTGCTTAGGTAAGTAGGGCAAGAGTACACAGTACTCTTGGGAATGACACCTTTAGTGGTGGCATGAGGAAGTTAATTCAGCTCACACTGCCCCATTGCATTCCACCTCAGCATGCAGGAGGATCAGGAAATGATACAGAAACCAAAAAAAAAAATGTTTCAAGGTTTCTTGACAGTGTACCAAACTTAAATGAATCCATTTTTTTTTCTCATAGATAAAGTAGCATTTCCTTGCTCCTTCCAACCTCTCTTCTTCAGTCTTTTCTGAAGATTAAACTGTTTGTTCAGCTATTCCTGGAAGATCTTCAGAAGAACTATCTTTGTTCTTCTATTTTTTTGCTGTAGAGCCCCATCCACAGTCTCATTTTTTTTTTTCTGAGGACTAGGTCTATCAGCTCACTGCCACCCACTTCCCCTCTGCAGATAGAGTCCCAGCCCTCCCTCACAACTCCTCCAGTGCTCTTCTATCTATTAACTCACTGGGGCAAAAAAAGAAAACACTTCTCTTCCGAATTGACTGCAGATATATTACCCAAGTGACCAAACATGCTAACTGCTGCCTGGACACAGTAGGATGCAACCAAATTGTCACTAATGACAGAAGATTTGAGTAATGTTACTGTGGGGAAAGGGTAATGTGATAAAGTGGCCTGCAATTTAAGCAGGTCCAATGTGGAGCAGATGAGACACACTGCAGAGATGGTAACAGGAGTCTGTCTGGGTGGTGCTGGGAATAAAACACACAAAGAAGACTTTTTCTATGGCATTAGAGGGTAAGAACATGTCTTTGGTATTGCATGGCTACAGCTGAGCTGAGTGCCTTATCTGTATCTCTGCTTCGTGTTCGTTGCTTAGGGCAAAGGTGATGACATCCCTGTGTACCTGAGGTATGAAGGTGAAGTCAAGAATAAAAAGCTGAGTAAGAGAGATGTGGTGGCTATCCTAAAAGACGTCTGGAGAGAGAAGATTGCACTAGAACAGCAGGTTTGTCCTATTTTTCTGCAAACAGCTTTTGCTATGCCAGCACAGATGGGATAGTTTGGGCAAATGGTGTCTCACTCATATCGCACTAGTGTTTCACCTGGATTCAACCACAGTATAAGAACAGTATAAGAACAAATGGCCTGAGCTGGCAATAACCTTGTGCCTGCTACAGCTCCCCAGGGAATTGATCTGTGAATTACAACATCCCCATGTGGATAGTGAGGGTAGCTCCATGCCAGTTCTAATGGATTTTTACTCTAGTTTCTGCTCCAGGGGTAGCAGAGTGTTTTTGAGTAGCTGCTGCCCAGACACAACTGCAACTTGGGAGGCATTGAAGATATCAGTGTGAATGCTAGATCCTTTGATGCACATGGCTGTAAGCTGCAGTGATCTAAGCTGTAGAAAGAGCAGTGGAACTGCCCTTGAAGCTCCACAAGTCAGGGAGCCCAAGGGAGGAAGCAGCACAGCCACCCTGAGCTAAATCAGCTGGGCTCATGAGTCTAATTCCTTAGCTATAAATGCCTGCTGCTATTCTGGGTTGTGATGGTGCTCTGTTGACCAGGACCACCGTGACTATGCAGCTCTCACCTCTTAGCTAAAAGAAAACTTGTTGGTCTCTGTAAGCCAAAGCATGTCCAGGGTTTCTTGCTGGATTGGTTTTAACTCAGCTAAGTTTCCCAGCACAGTCAGCTACTGAGCTCCATAGTGTTTATGACAATGCAAAAGAGGAAAAGGTGACATGCAGGACAAATGAGTGGCCAGGGACAGAAAAAAAAACACTTAGATTAATAGAGGAAATAGTGTAAAAGTACTGGGCCTTGAACAGGAGTTCCCCTTCTTTGTCCAGGGTGGGTAGGGAGTGAGAATGGGAGGCTGAAGAGGTGAGATGTGTATTCTCTGCCAAGGCAGACATTATGGGTGGCCCCCCTGAAGGACTCAGCAAAGAACAAAAATGGTCATTTGACTTTTCCCGTGTTGGAGACAAGTATATAATCTCCCCAGACTTTTGGCAAGTCTATTTACTGTGCTGCAGTCATATGAGAGCGATCTTCAGAGAGGCAGTATTATGTTACAGATTTCTTCTCTTGAGATAGGAGCCTAAAAACATCTCTGACATGACCCATAAGCACCTCAATGTTTTCTATGGCAGCTGTCTTTAACTTTTAGCTCAGTTTCCTGTGGAAATAAGGTTGATGCACTCACTGTTCAGCTCTGATTTTCACCAATATCTGCTTCTGACCATATTCCAAACCCATAAGATCAAATCAGCTAAATCTGACAGGCAGGTAGGACTCACAGGTATCAAATTCCTATAAATTTAACAAAAATAAGGGAGGAGGAGAGCAACTTTGTCAGTAGTCTGAGCAACAGAAGAGCTCCAGCATGGACTTACCTGGTTTTAGATTGCAGACAACAAATATGCAAACAGCACCAGCATTGGGTTAGCAGAGATCCCAGCAAAACAAACAGCTATAGTATAATGTTTGAAAAGAGCTGTAACCACTGGCAGATCTGCTGCTTATTGGAGTTACTGACTTGTTGTCCACAGATGGGGAAGCGATCCAGTCTGCCTGAGTTCTTCCTCTGCTACCTCCAGAAGAAGTATGGAGATGCTGCTGCCATGGAGTGGTCTTACACCATCTATGAGAACATGCGAATCTATCAATCAAACCATGTCATGAGTTCATTCTACAACATCCTCACTGGGAAGGTAGGCAACCCTCCACCCCCAAACCAACGGCACGGCTCTGCCGAGACATCGCTCTGGTGACAGACCGCAGGCAGGGGGAGTGTCCTCTGCAAAGCAGCTCCGTCTCCCATTCCTACACGCCAGAATCTGCACGTGCCCGTGAGAACAGAAGTACCCACAGACATGTACTAGTGATGAGAATCATGTGCATGCAAAGCATGGTGGAGTTATTGCTTATTCCAGCAGAGCTCCTAGGAGACCCCATTTCTTTGAGATGCTTTTATCACATCATATCTGTCCCTGCCAGTGAAAGGTTTGTGTTTGCAGTGCTCATATATATACACGCCAGTTTTTCTCAATAGTCTTTCCTCGAACCACTTATGTTTTTGGTCTGTGTGAAAATCAGGACCCTGTCTCTGAAATGCAGCACTGTGCAGATCCTGGCAGTCTCACGCTGGAGAGCTCTAGCTTGAAATACTGCTCCATGGAGCCCTGGGTTTTCATCTGGTGCTGCGACTGCTTCTCCCATCATGTGAAAACCTTATAGTGGCCCTACTTACACCTTGCTTGAAAGTGAAAGAGTGGCAGGGACACAATGGAGCCATCAGAGGGGCTACCACCATTCTGGGGATCCAGAGTGCCATCTAGGGATTTAAAAGCTGCCCTGAGAGAGGTTTAAGTGCTCATGCATGGGGAAAGCCTGGGGCACATGACCTGCTTTGGAGCAACTTTTCAACAAGAATCTATTGCCAACAACTGCCGTGCAAGTCCCTCTGTGGCTTGCTTCATTATTTGCAAATAATTACAATGGCCGAGGCAAAAGTTGATGTGAAAAGGAGCAGAGTCCTTTTGCATTTTTGCTGCCCTCCGGTGGGTAGAGTGAGGGATAACAGATGGGGTGTTTACTGACCTGTGAACCTTTCCTGTTCCACAGGTAGGCGAAGAACAGTACCATGGCCAGAATCAGCTGATTTCCAATCTGCAAAAGGAGCTGGCAGCCTGCGATAGCTCGAGCACTGGGTCCCTGACCAGCGAGCAATTCAGGCAAGAGGCCAAATGTTGTCCACTGAGCTCTGCCTGGTTGTGACATTCGTTGGATATTTCGTTATGCTGAGTCACCTCTCTCATGGTTAAATTCCTGTGAGGACAGCCCTACCTAGCTGGTTCCGCTTACTGAGGAGATGTGGAATCCTCATGCAGTGCTCCCACGAGCTCCTGATAGGATATAAAGAAATTCTGTGAATTCTGCTACAGATGCAGGATTTGTCAATCCTCTCCCAGTTAATTAGTTGTGCTTTCATTTGCTATACTCAGTAGTAAACAAAGATGGCATTTTAGGGGCCAGAAGAGTGGTGCAGAAGAGATGCAGCCATTTCCAGCCCTTCAGCTGGGAATGCATCACTGGCACAGACATGATAGTCGATTGGTCTAGGCTGACAGGTAACCAGTACTTACAGTTGCACTGAAACTTCTCCCAAATGCTTGGAGCCCGAGCCCTGGGGAAAACTCCTTCCCCATTTCCGTACTTGGTGTGTGACATGTGTGACTCGAATAGCTGCAACACTGCCAGCCATCCTGGCATGCATTACCTGTGCGCTCTGTAACAACATATGTCTCCAAACAGCATGGCTCTGAGGGAAGCTTTTCCCCTGAAAAGGAATGATTCCATCCAAGACCTAGTTGATGCAGGCAGATACAAGCTGGACAGTGCTGAAGACCTCATCAACTACAGAGCCTTATTCAGTGAAGTAAGTTGCTATTTCTTAAATTTCCCTGTTAACACAGATGGTAAGCAAGTAGATTCTAAGCTTATCGGATTTTTCTAAGTTCTTCTATATTCCTCCTTATTTGCAATTTACACTCAGAAAAAAAAAATCACAGGCATCTCTCCAAAGGCAAAAAATGTATAAACTATTGATATATTTGCATTTTATTTTTTCTTCTGTATTTCAGCACCTTGATTCCAAATTTGGACTCAAAGTTAAATAAATATCTACCCTGCCCTGGCATTATCACTAAAGTGAATTATTTGGAAGGCTAGGGAAGCATGGCTGCTGTACGAGTGACCAGGCAGCACTGGCAACTGACGGCTGGGGTGGTTTGCCCTCTTCTCCTCTGTGGACATGGGAGGTGACGCTTTCCGCGGCTCTAGGACAGGCAATGTTTGGAAAGATTCTGATGACGTGAGCTGTGAGCTGCATTGAGGGCTGTGGCTAAAGCAGCAATGTGCTTTATTGCACAGAATTCTTCCCACATTAATGGAATTTTTTCCCAGGGGAAGGCAGAGAGGATGCCCCCCCACCTCCGGCCCAAGGCACCCAAAGGACTCCATTTCTAGGATAGCTGAGTTATTTGAATATACATTGGGGAATGGCTGCTATCCCTATTAGATGGAACATGAGAGTCAGTGCTAATGTGCATGTATTCACTTTCAGGATGAGGAGGGAAATGCTGAACCTTTTGTTGAAATACTTAGAAACCAGTATGTGAACGAGAAGCAGGAGTATCTGAGAGAGCTGAGGAGCCAGCTGGGAGATGTGATGTAAGTATGAAGGAGAAACACTGAGCCCCATTACACAAGAGCTGTCACTCTCCACCAGCATGTGCAAGCAGCAGCATCATACTAGACCTTCTGTTCAGGCAAAATAATTTTCCTGAGTCAAGTTTTCCTATGTTTTAGCAGCTAAATGGCATTCCCAGAGACCACTGGAAAAACAGACTGGGGAGAGCAAGGAGGAGCTAGGGAGAGCTAAAGAGCATTTCCTGAGGAATGGGAATGGCAGTACAAGACCAGGCCTGAGGAGCCAAAACTGGATAGGGGGTGCAGGATGGTGACTAGGACTTGCTGAGGAAGCCAAGATCAGGATGAGAAAACGGGCGAGCAGAGGGTGAACAGGCTCACTGAGCCGAGCTGGAGAGGAGGAGCCCAAGGCAAAGGAGAGTCAGGACAGGGAGAACCTGTAAGGGACATGGCAGGCTGCAAACAGAAAAGCCTGGCTCTAGTAACAGTCCCCCCCGGGATCGGATGTCTCACGTCTCAACATTCTTTGGTTCTTCTAAACCATCCATAAAATTCTCCTTATTCTCAGAGACTGTGTCCTGCCCGCCCCCACCGTCACTCTGCATTAACAGTGAATAATTTCACTGTTGGACAGACGTATAAATATTCCTTTCATATAACATAGCAAAGCAGTGACTGAGTTGTTTTTAACAGAGAGGTGAACGCTGATGATCTGAAGACAGCCTTCTGCGCAATCGATCCTGATATCGACGATCAGACGTTAGATATCTACATTGGCTTGGCTTACCAGGTCGGAAAAGAACAGACAGATCAAGATGTCCTGCCTGTGGAAACAGCACTTGAGAGACTGATGGCTGGAGATGTAAGACGAGTAGGACCCTCACCCAAAGAGGAAAGCAAGACAGAATGTGAAGAAGGCGACTAGGCAGACTCCTAGTGCTGTGAATAAGAGACCGTTTGAACAAAGCTATGAGTCAGAGCTGCTGCACTAAATACCTCTTTCCATGTACACACAGACCTAGTTACACATACAGACCCCTACTAACTAACAGCTGAGAGAATAAGCTGGTTTGAGCTATCAGAAGCACTTTGAGCTCAAGCAGCAAAGTGTTCAGTGCAATTTTGTGACCCATATAGAGCCATTTTCGCTCAACAGGACCTGCATATGTCAGACTTACTGCTCCCTAAACAAGGATTAGCATCCTCACAGCACCAGGGTACCTCAGGAAATGGGCATTCTGCTTGGTAGTAAAATGACTATGTTCCAACTCATTACTTGAACCTGAGGGTCACCACCAAACTTCAGGCTGCAATGTGCTTAGTTTAGCCTGTTTGTGAAGCAGGTCTTATTGGCTCAGAGAAGAAAGGCAGGACTTCACAAGATATTTTTGCAAAATAAGGTGCCATCATCACAGTTAGGTCAGTGTGCAAGTGAAAGAATTCAAACTATGCCAGGTTTGCTAGCATGTCTTTCCCCAAGACATTTATCATAGCATAGTGGATATTGTCCAAGATAATCACTTGAAAAGAAATTCAACCGCTGCCCCAGGAGTAGATTTAGTCAAACTCTGAGCTGCAAAAATCATCTAAGCACAGAAACACTGAAATTTGTTCCTTGTTTCAAGGAAGAGAGCACATGTGTTTTGGTAACTGTCCTTCCAGCCACAAGCATCAGCTAGTCCTTCCTATTCCACAGTGACTTCTCTCCAGCATAAAGCCCTCTCCAGGAAAGGGGAGTAAGGGCTCCTAAAGCCAAACCCCAGTAGGAAAGCAGGTCTGCTATGTTTTTACTGGAATCCTTAGGCAAGCGGAGCAAACTCAAGAACCAATTACCCAAATTGTTCCTCTTCTCACAACATGGTTTGAAAAGTAGAAAAGGGAAATCTGAAATCAGAAGATGCCATCCAAAAAATAACAAAGCACTAGTTTTGTGAGCATTTGCCAGGAGACTCCTGCAAAACCCCTGATGTAATTTGCGAGGTATTTTTAAAAGTAAAAGTTGCATAGTGTATCTCAAAACAACAAAGGTGTTTCCTTTTGTGTATTGCAAAAACAATCTCCACTGTTTTAATAATGATTTTTTTTTCTCTTAACTTGAAAATGACTGATGTGTCTGACCTGGGTATTGGGTCTGCCTGCCAGAAAGGCTGCAAAGTCTTCATTTCCCTTAGTGTTGGGCGAAACCTGTTTAACTTGTCAATGTTGCTGCCAAGAGCTACCAAGGCTAAGTTGTAGGTCTTGGACTCCTTATTTACTGTAGCACTTGGAGCCCGAGAAACAAAATGACACTGTCAGTAAGCAACACTTCTTGGATCTAAAAGAAAAGAAAAAAAATCTGCAATGCTGGAAAAGCAAAGGCAGCTACTCCACTCTTTCAGTCTGGACATTGGCCACCTACACTTTCCCCAACATAATTTATATGTAACTTCAGTCATTTCAACTAAAGTGTCCTAAAATATTTCAGAGAATACCCACTGCAATTAGCTGTTTCAAAAGGACCCAGGAATGTTCTTCTTTCTTCCTTAAGACACACAACTTATTCCCAAGCCAAGGACCAATATTTGCAAATGACACTTAGGGACAGGCTCATTATGGGGAGAAACAAACAGACCACACTAGGAATTCCCTGTGGCAAATTTGGTGTATTCAGACTGTCTGCACCAGTGCAATCAACGCAGTCTGCACTACTCTGTGCACATCTGGAAACCACCCGTGTGACATTTGTGCTGAGCTTTGGTTTATCTCAACTAGAAATGCTAAATATCTTCAGCCCCACTCTGCCCTACCTAAGGAGTTCTACAAAGCAGCATTCAGATGTCCCGTTCTCCTATACAGTCTGTCTCAGTCTATCTACCACATGTGAAACAGAACATCTGCCTTTCTCAAATAGTCTTAAATTAATTCCTTCTAATTCTCCATGACTTTTTTTTGTATGTATTTTCCAGTTCCAACTGACATCAACAAATAACTGTTGTCATCAACTACTTATGACCAGCAAATTTTATTAAACTGTCCAAGTACTCGTAAGTAACATACGCAAAAATAAATGATAATCAAATTATGTACAGTAACAGTGAGATCCAGGAGGCTGTCATGATGGTTAGAGCAGAATTTGAATCAATTCATGAGAATCTCTAGTAGTTCCTTATTGTCCCACTAGTAATCTATGGAAAACCATCATACTGACCAGTTATACCGAGAAATGTAAAGCTAGTTTCCATGAGCAGGCAATGTTTCCATCCATGGGAGTCATCACTGCCACAATGTTCATTTGCATGGAATTATTTTATTGCCACTTATAGCAACTGGAATCAGCAGTTTCCTGTATTCCAGAGGAAGATGACGCTCTATCAGCACATGTAATGGCATCTTGTCCGTCACCAGCCCTTGTCTTTGTGCAAAAAAGAGGAAATCAAAAAAGAAACAGAAAATCATTAGTAAAGCATGTTTTCACTCAAACTTAATGTTATATTAAAGACTCTCTAAATTTGTTTGCTGTGACATTTTTGCGGTGAGTATCTGAATGTTGCTCCTGTCTGTGATAGGATTGACCTGAAAAAAAATCAATCTCCCAGTATTACAGAAGGGAAAAAAAAAAAGGCTGTATTGTTCCATCTTTTCCTTATGGAAGGAAATTAAATACTGTTCTTGTTCATGAACAAGTAATAATTCCTGATCTCTGGATAAGGCAGTGATAAGGCATAAAGATATCCAGAAAAAAAGTAAAATAACAGAGGTACAGAATCCCCAAACCTGGCCAGTTAGCCCATCATACCTCTCAGCCTGTTCATGCTAATTCCAACACACTCAGATAGGAAAATCAAAGTGTGAGGACAGCAACAGATTAATCTTTTAGGCAGTGGCAATAGCTCCATCTACACAGGCCCATGCAAAACCAGTCTTGAATCAGATATGCCCTCCAAAATCCCTCAAATTTCTTTAATGTTGCATTAGAAACTCTTCCAGAAGACAGCAGACATAACAACTTAGATGACTTTAGATGAAGGGTGAGAAGTCTCTCTGGCACCACATCAGTTTACAGAGGACTTCCTAAACAAAGAACAAATCCCTTGTATTTAGTCACAGGATGAAGTAAAGCCAGCCACGAGACAGCAAGGGGAAGGAGCACTGAGGAGACTCTGGGGACAGTGCAGGCTGCTCTGCCCCTCCATGGGGGTCTCGGAGTGGCAGCAGGAAGGGGGACACAGTTGTTATCAGAAGCTGGACCTGGCCTCTCAGTCTTCCCTGCTCTACAGGAAACTTTGAGCCTTAAGTACTAGATTTTGCAGAAGCAGACGACTGGGGTCTTTTTCAGGAGTAATTCATCAGAGCATACAGCAAATGCTGAAACTGTTTCAGTTGCAAGTGCTCCTAGTGAAGAGGTCCCCCAGGGAGGCAAACTGTGCAGTCCGTACCCACACCTACAATTGCTCTCCTGCTTTGTCTACCTACACCACTATTTCCCAGCCATAAATACTCCACCCTTGCACACATCCTCCTCCTACCTCTTTCCCAAGCTCTTCCTGTACACTCATTCCCTCCATAGCCTCCTCTTGCCCCTCCA